TAACTACTCAAACTTACTAAAAGCATCCCTAAATTTTACCGCAGAGCCTGGACATACTGATTCTTATCCTCAGTAGCTTCATTCAAAGGTGTGTGAACTAACACCGATGTACATATCTTACACAGCTGGAGAGTAAACAATAATTTTATTGAATTAAGCATCACTACATGTGACCCCAACACAAAACCTATCAAAAGCATACTTTTAAGTAAGGACAGCCCTTTACTGCTCCTATCTGTCTTTGCAATGAGGTTGATAAGTTAGAGGCTTACTTTTTGCTGTACTAGGTAGAATTTTTTTTTTCAAATTATTTGCCTGTGAAAACTCCTGGTGCCAGAGCTTTTCAGTGAAATAATTTAGACTTAAAAAAAAAAAAAAGGAAAAAAGGAAAAATATATATGCACTTCCCTATAAAGAGATATATTTCTCATATACAGTTGTACTGTTTTAGCTAATATGTCAAAATAACCAGTACGCAATAGCATGTGTCTTTGTCAGCATTTTAACATGTAGAAGTATACTTCTGAAGCGTTATTGAAATAGAAGGAAACTGGTTATAAAAATGGATGCACCATGTAACTGAAAAATATGCAAATAAAAAACTTGTGATGATGTTCAAAGAGCAGAGCTATGTGAGAAAGGTAGTGGGATTAACACTCCCACATACTTCAAAAGTGATTATTTGGATATAGCCTTCTTTGGTCAATGAGGATCTATGATTTGCATTAATCCTTAGCTTAAAGAGTACTGTGTTGAAACAACTATATTAGTAAGCTAGAAACTCTATACTGTTCCTAACTGCTATGCAAATTTTCATTTCTGATACGTATTTTTGGGTTACTATCCAGAAAATGCGATTTTCCTTTTGAGACATGACACAGAAACAACACAAGAAGAACAAACAGAAGCAGAGAACCTGCTCAACTTTATTCAGAGCCAACTTCCTCTCTCTTCTTCTATCTGTACTAGAGTCTTCCTCCTTTTCTTTTTCCTCCTTTTCACTTCTCTTTCCTTTTAAAGGAGGCTGGAATTTTTCTGGGATGTGCTTTCTTTTCAGAAAGTCAAAACTCATATGGAAATCAATGTTCCATTATTTATTCCCCAAAAGGTCATTTTAATTTTGGTTTAAGTCTTTCAGGCCCTCCATGAAACTCCAGTTTCAGCTGGGATTCACTTTCCTCTTCATCTGCAAACAAGTGTGGTTTACAACACAGACTTCTTTCACAGTTGGAAAAAAAAAAAAAGAATGGCTTCAAACTGCAGCAGCTACCAGATCACAGAATTGTAGAAAAATTCAGGTTGAAAGTGACCTCTGGAGGTCTCCAGTCCAATCAACCTCCCTCTCAAAATGGTATCAACTATAAGATCAGACCAGGTTACTCCTGACTTTATCAAGTCAGGTATTGAAGTCTCCAAAGATGGAGAGAGCAAAATGTCTCTGGACAACCTGTTCCAGTGACGGGCAGCCCTCATGGTGAAAAAGTTTTCCCTTATAACCAGACTGAAACTCTCTTGTTTCAAGTCTGTTGTCTCTCACCCTCTTCTCATGCAGCACTGTGAAGAGCCTGTCCTTCTTGATAACATCCTCATAGACGCCGTCAGGCTGCTGTTAGGTCTCATTGAAGCCACCAAAAAAAGAAATTCTCTTTTTCCAGGCTGAACAAGAGCATTACCCTCAATCTCCCTTTCCAGTGCAAATGCTACAGCTTCCTGACCATACTTGCTGGTCCTCTGTCAAACTCACTGCAATTTATAGTTGTCTTATTTTTACTGGGGACCCAAAACTGGATGCAGCATTCTAGATATCAGGAATCTTTCTTCTGGAGAAAAAAAAAGGAAATCGATTTTTTTCCTGAAGGTCTCTACTTGTTTCCTCCTTTGAGCATGTCTGCGTGTACACACAGTTGCATGTTCACACATACAGATATTCTGGACCTAAATATCTCTTCCCTGATTTTGCACAATAAAATGATATTTGATTTTTTTTTCTGGATTATACTAACGTTAGTGAAAGACAAATCAGTATAAAAATACACATTTTCATGTTACTGTTTACACATGTATGCATTAAAAAATTGTTAATATATGCTCACAGTCCTTCCTTTGATGACCAAACCCCTAAAATGTGGTTGTGTTAAGGCATGGCTTTAGGCATCCCTTGTACGCTTTAATGTTAGCCTCTAGTATTTGTTTCTTTTTCTTAAATTTGCTTCTCTGAAGTTAAAGGATGATGTAGAAATCTCAGTTAAAACAAGGAAATAAAGAAGAAAAGTGTGAGAAAATCCTTCAAGGAACGCCTAAGAGCAAAAAGAGGAAAAGGCACCGCATGGAGACAAAATTCCCAAGCTGATGTCATGCTGGCACCGCAGAGAGGACAGAAGTTTGGAGAAGCTGGCAAAGGAATGAGAGAACAGTAGCTGAAGGAGATGTGCACCCTGTATAATCATGTGTCTCATTGCAGCTCTACAGTTCAGATGAGGAGTGGAGCATGTGTAGGAACCTGTATTTTGCTGACTGGGGAGCTCTGAAGTCCAAAGGGGAAATAAGTCCAGGGAAACGTAGTCTTGAACAGCAAACCGTCTAGGTAACTCACTTAGATCAAACTTCCACCTCAGTCCAGAACACACCACCTGAAAAACACTCTGTGCTTGCTCTAGATTACCATAGTATAGCAAGCAGTAAAAGGAAACCAAGAAGACATCTACACAAGCATTCTTTAACTAGCCTCCACATACAAAACAGAGAGAAAATTTTCACTCATTTGGGATGGCCTGGGAAATGCACTCTATTTTGTCATTCATGATTATTGTGGCCAACCCACCCTTGGCCTGACACAGTCCCCGAACCTTTATGCACACATGCCCTACTTTCTTATCTTCATCTACCTCATTTGGCACGTGTTCAAAGTACCGCCACACTATTGCATGACAGAAGCTCCAGATGTTCATGTAATACATGGGAAACTATAACCAAAATGTTACATTATTCATAAGAATCCTCATAATGGTGCAATTCCTTTCTAACCAAGGCAAAAGATAGGCATGCGACCTCAAACGTTGCTACTTATGCACTTAGAGAAGCATTTCTTGAACCTTGTGAGGGATGTAAAAGACAACAATTCCAGGTGGCCTTTGGCTTTCCTAGCCGTGTCTCTGCATGGTTGGACAGTGTCTCTATACAGAAAGATTGTAGAGTCACCATTCATGGAGATAATCATAACCCATCTGGGTGTGGTCCTGGGCAACTGCTCTAGGTGGCCCTGCTTGAGCAGAGGGGTTGGACAAGGTGACTTCCAGAGGTCCCTGCCAACCTCAGTCAGCGTGTGCCTCTGAGCGTCCACTTCAGAATGCATTACAAAAAAACCCATCCTCTAAGAACAATGAGGCAGGAGATAAAATCTTTCATTTTTGATGTTCTGAGCTACTATGTAACTTGTATAACTTAGTAGTGATACAATAGTTCTCGCCCCAGGGGATATTCTTCCACACCTTATGACTAAATCTTGCAAAATACCATCCTCAAACTTACAACGAAATTCTGCCTGTCCAAATTAAGGGCCGTAAGTTAACAACGTGGTACATTTTAATGGTGATTTCTGCAAGTCATTATTGTTAATATTTCTGAGATTCAAAGCATCTATATCAGTAAACTGAGGCTGCTGTCTACTGCTCTTGTTAAATACTATATATTAGTGCAAACTTGACACACTCTCTCAAAAACATAACTCAAAAGTCAGTGAAAAATCTCCTGCAATGCACAGAGACCAACACAAGCAAACTCTTAATTTCTGAAATATCAATACAAAAACTGCATTTCTGTTTTTAAGTTATCCTACAAATCCTATTTAAGTGAGTAATGAGGGCACTATAATAAATTCTCTCTAGCTTGTTAAATCATACCATAATTTGTGCACACACTAAATGCTGACCAAATTCATTAAAAGCAATAATCACAAATTGCTTGGGGTTTCTATTCACTATTAACAGGCTTTAAATAAATGCCTATGAGATTTAGGAACAAAAGTTGTTTTTGAAACTTCCCTCCAAGGTTTTAATAAACTTAATGAGAAGGGGAAACTCTAAAAACCTCTAGAAACCCGAGTATTTTTCACTTGTAAATGCTGAAACACTGACAACATACACAGTTCTGCTACTGCAAATGCTTTTTAGTCATAACTAACTAGTCCTCTTTATTTCCAATGAACATAATATTCACACTACATTTATTATTTACCTCTGCAGCCCACATCCCTCATCACAGACATTCAGCCTTCAGATTCACAATTTTCTGCTGTGTTGATGCCAATTCTCCTGCCTTTAACCTGCTGGCAGCTCTCTATCCCCTCTCACACAGGAGGTCAGGATGAAATGAGAGCTGTAACCCAACATCACTCCATAAAACAACCTAACTCCTTCACTGGACCACACAGAGCTTTTCCTTAGGGACTAAAACCCACTGATCCAAGCAAATGTTCAGTGCAGCCCACCTAAACTAATGAGAGAACGGCCATTTCTCTCGTTCTACGTACTGCTACAGAATGTAAGGAATTAAAACATACATATTATGTTGGGGTTGAAAAGAAAACAGTCGTTTAGAAATACAGATTTTATTATTTTAAAATCTATGTTGATTAAGTTAGGTATGTGCAAACAACCAGGGAAGAAACAAGCACTTATGTCAACTGGTTCTTTTGTCCTCATGTTCTTAAGTGAATGCATTGCTACGACACAGCTTTTTCATTTATATGAGAATCAACTGCCAGCAATCTTCTCCTTCTCTTAGAAAAAACTAATAGAAAATTTAGGCTATAAGAAAAGGACTTGTATTTCAAAGAGATGGTTGGTGAGCAGCAAAGCAGAAATGCAGGCCTTGATTCATTGATGTATTCACATTTCCAACAAATACCTATTTGATAAGGCCATTTCCTCACTCACAGTCAGACACAGTACAGAAAATTTCCCCTATGACTCACTGATTTATACTAGTATTAATTATTTTACCTGTAATAAACACGCAATGTCTGGATTTCTTCTTCTAATTTTTTGCACTGCTGAAGAGCGGCCTCTTTTTCTTGTTGCAAGGCTATCAACTCTGCCTGCAAAACAATAAACAAATTATAAACAATTTATTCAGAATATCCACATTCCTCTGAAAACATAACAATCCTCTGTGCATTCATTTCAGTCATGCTGCATTATAATTACATATATAAAGTTATACTGTTTTGGAATACCGCCTATTTAATTCTTACGAAAAACCACTTTCTTGTTCTTGCTTTGCCATTTGTTCTAGTTTTTTTTTCCCCAGCAGGATGATGTTTTGAATGGCTTCCCTCGTGTATATGGTAAACTTTGTGAATGGCTAAGGTTAAATCTCTTCAGTTCAGCCAAATGTTTCTCAGCAAACATATTTCATACTGATATAATATTCCTATAGTGCGAAACTGTTGACCAACATATAGGCAGTGAAGTGAAGCAAGGCACTCAGCCACAAACTACCGATGCGTGACTCTTGGTCCGCACGTGGCTCTCCGGCTGTGAAGCGCAGCTCCTGTGCTGATGTTACCAGCAGGAGAGCTGCCGGAGAACCCACACCCTGAGCGGCGGCAGGCGATGAGCCAGCGGGGGCTGCTGGGACCGGCACCGCCGGCTTGCTTTGGGATCCGGCTGCATTCTCACCCAGGATCTGGTTTGTAGTGCAGCGAGGGAATCCCTGAGAAACTGCTGTCATCTCCCACCCGTGAAGCCTCCCGGATGTTCCCCCTCCCGCTGTTTGCTCACACCGCCCTGTGAAGGGCTTGTGACTCACGGCCATTATGGAAATTGCAGCATGTGGCTTGTAAGGTCAGGAAGGTAGCCAGCCCCAACACAGCCTTATGGTTAAAGAGGAGGTAGGAGAAATAAGCGCTCGTGTATATTTAATATGACTCTACAGCTTAATCACCATTAAGTTTAAAATGTCCAGTTTCAATAGCACTGCAGGACACCCTTGAGGGCCCAGGTACCACATAAATTATCTCAAAATCAACAGATGATTAATTATTGGAACAACAAATAAGACTGGGCTTGCACAGCAATTCTTTGACACGTGAGCCCGAGCATTGGGCTGCTTTCCAATGTTTTTAATTCACGGTGTAAGTTATTAATTGTACAAATTGTAGAGCCTCAAACCAAGAGGCACATGTGTGAGAAATGCCGACTGCGGATTCTGCCAACTCTACAGGACAGCATTGCAGAAAAGTTTCTTGGTAAATTAACGACCTGTTACATGAGCTATGAACACATGAAGGGAAATGTAGAGTTCAGCCTCTAGCTCTCCTCGACTCGCTGTATAATCGTGAACGACTCTGTGTGCTTCAAAAATCTCTCTCCTAAAACAGGGCTCCCACTTGCTTCTGTTTCCTGTTTGTCTGTTAAGACTGTAAGTCTTCAAGGCAGGTGTTTTACTGTTTACTGTCAACTCCCAGTCATCTACGGGCAATTTATACTACGAGTTGATTAATCATGTCCTGGATACATGGCTGACTCCTGGCAAATTTTATTAAACACCGCATTGCACAAATGCAGCTACATAACCAGTCTCTGCACCGTGCTGCTCAGCGTGTCACGCTGCACCCAGAGTTTTGCATTGGGGGTACAGGACCCACTGCTGTAATTGCTCCTGTAACACACTTTCATAAAATTTTAACAGGAAGTTCCCTGGAGAATAAAACCAAAGTTTCTTACTATATGGAGGACTCCTTCAGCTTTAAAACCAGAAAGCGTTAATGTTTAACCTCTGAGTGACAGTGGTTTAGAGCTTCTGATACTGAGAACAATGTACTGGATGCTGGCAAGCCCTAACTCCTGTCAGCAAGAGGTTAAAATCCTCTGCAGGTGAGCCTCTTGCTCAGTGCTGCTTGCTGCCTTGCAAGCAGAACTCACAGAACACAAGGATGTTAGCCAAACCAAGCTATTTTCTGTAATTATACTGTTCTGTAGGTGAAACAACATTCTTAAAAATTGGAAAACACGCTTGAATCAAAGTAGGTGGTTTGTTCTAGAGGCCAATAATTAACATCCTTGCCAATTTTCAGTGTACTGTGAAGTGTGATTGAAATGGTAGACTGGAAGGAAATGTTTGCAGCTGACACACCTACTCACGGAGAGATTAACGGCTAGTCTCTTTGGAGAGCTATCATAAAAAATACACCTTATGTTCCACTCGCTTTTCAGGACAAAAGTCAGAAGGCACGAGAGTCTGAAGACTCTTATTTATGCCAGTTTTTCAGCAGAGAAAACAGCGCTAATTTGACTGGGTTTGCATCTGGGTTTGCACCACTAAAAATAACAGCAGAATTAGGTGCTTCGGTTTTTAAAAAAACACAGCTACAAAAACTGAAGGGAAGAGAAGTAGGCATTTGCTAACCTCCTCGGTAGCATGTAGTGGGGTTGATACTAGGGAGCTGCATGAGACCAACAAAATTCAAGCACAGCATTTTTTTGTGCACAGCATGCAGCCACGCGACAAAACGACCCACTATTCACAGGCCTGAAGAGTGGTAAACACAAATGAAGGACTCTCCAAAAGAGAGATGTCTTCCTCTGCTAGAAGAGGAAAAGCAAAACAGTGCCCATCACAAAGTTAAATTGCTAACTAAAATAATGGTGCCTCCACTACTATAAAACATTTGGAAGACTTCTATAATGTATATTGAAATCCATCCATAGTGCACATGGCAAAAATCCTACATGAGCTCACCTCTAGTAATAACAATAGCTGCTCGGGAACTTTTTAACAAAATATTATTCCTTCGGAAAACATCAAGCTGTGGAAATCAGAACTCTTCACAGAAATGGATCAGTTTTGATTGAAATTTTTTGGAAGGCAGAGTAAAGAAGGAGCAACAAGAAGAAAAAGAATTACACTCGGGTTCCTCTGGCAGAGGTTTTCCCGAAAAAAAGGTCAATATAGAGGTGAGGTCGGTCACCACTTTGGTACAGGGGTCACCCTCAGTGAAGTTCCTGTTTATCCCTGAAAGGGTATTCTGATCACTGCAATATGGTCTCTTTCTCACAATTTTGTTTTGTCCACAAGTGCCTACGCTTTCATATTTGGTTTAACGTGGATAGATCCTTCCCCATTCTCTGTCCCCCACGCCACTTTCCTGCAAAAGTCCTGTTTCTACACTTCTTCCATTTTGCACTTTAGCAAAGTTATTTGTTGAAAATTTACATTTTCAAATTAAATCTAAAAACTAATTGCTACATATCAAATTTAAAATAGCTAGATCTCAAGTAAGAAAATCTCATTACTGATCATTTTGTTGTTGCTTTTGTTTCAAAATATTAAAAAGAACAATGCTATGCAAAGCCTGGAAAAATACTAGAATTCAGCACATGAAAACAAAGGATAAAACTAGTTTTTACCTCTTCCTAGTTCCTCTAGCGCAAACATGAGCACCCTCAACTCTAATCTAAATGCTTTTCAACATCCAACAGAAGGAAAAAAACATTCTATGAACTTGAGTAATAAAGCTTCATGGCTCTGTCCTTGTACTGCTTTCTCATTCACTTATAGAGAGCATACATATTTCTACCTATATATATTTATAGAAAGCATCTATTTTTTCTTCCTTGCACAGGCTAAACACACAACCTTTTCTGTTAGCTCTCAGTAAGCAGGCTCTCCATTCTGATCAATTCAAACCCAACTGTCATCAGCGCTCTGCTAGCAGTACATCCTAACTCTAGTGGAAACATCTTACCTAATGCATTCTTGCATCCCTTTTGCTCACAGTCATCTTCTGCCCACTGGTATTACCCAGCTAACAGTGGACATTCTTATTCATCCTGAAATGATGATACCTTACGCTTGGTACCATTTAATTCCACTAATTGATGATACCTTACGCTTGGTACCATTTAATTCCATTATTTTTTCAGTACTTGAGGCCATTCCAATCTTTCTGCACGGTAGCTTGAACTTATTTTGTATTAATAATATCTCCAACGTTGTATTAGTAACATCTCCCAGCTCTGCATCATCAAGCAACTTTGTTGGTACGCTGTTGCTCTTCATGCCAAAGGTTCTCAAAGACAGCATTAAAGAAAACTGGTTCAGCACCAATTGGTGAGAAATTGGAGAGAAATTCCACTAGTGAAATCCTTGGACCTTAACGTTTCTCCTTTCAAAGCTGTTTGCTGTTGCCTTCCTGCTAACTAGTTCCTTATTGCCTTTGTCTAATCCCTCATCTCCTTCATGGGTACATGACATTTTGCAGACAGACATGAGCAAAACGTGCCCATCCTTCCAAACAAGAGATGCTAGGTGAACCCAGTTAACAGCGAGCAGTGTTTCCCACATTAAGCTTGTGTGTGCTTGTAAAATGACAATATCCATTCTCCACTGTAATTAATAATTTTCCATATGGCACCACATATAAGCTTATGTGTCAGCTTATATTTAACAAGTTACCTTGTCTAAATAACCGGTTATCATACCAAAGAAGAATTCTTGCATGATCTTACTTGGGTGAAAGTTGTACTTCAATCCACTGTTGATGGATCCATGCCTTAAAAACATTCCCCTTCCAAATTTACTCTGAAGCCTCACAATAAAGACTAACTGGTTTACAATTTTCAGAATTATGGTTTTTGCCCTTCTAAATATAGATGCTGCCTCTGCTAATTCCCTGTCATGTTACACTGTACACAGCCTCATAGGAATTATTAAAGAACTTTATTATCATTCCCGCAATTTCAAGTACCAGCTTTTTCAGAATTGGGGATGAAAACCATCCATTATCTCAATCTCAGCACAATAACCTATTGAACAGCTACAATGTACTCCATTTCCATACACTCACTTTTCTTAACCCTGTCCTCATAGTTGACACCATCATTGCCCAATGCTGAGAAAAAAAATAATAAAATCACAGGCTTTTGGACCTAATCCGGATTATCCTTGATCTCCATGCCATTCTCAGACAGGTGGCACATTTCCTCTTTCCTTGTTCTCATTTCAGTCGTTACACTATTGTTTGTTTTAATTTCCTTTCCAAGGGCCTATTTAGCTTAACCTCTGGCAATTTTCATTTGTCTCTGTATTTCCTGT